AAATGATAGCAAATTCTCATCTATTCCATTACTAAATTACATTCTTAGGAAGCCGTGGAGATTCGCTAGTACCTTTATTATAACGAAATCCTTACACGCGACAACATTCATACTTTTCTGAAACATCAATATTTATAGCATAAAGGGATAATCCCTTAATGTCAAATGCAATCCTTTCGCACATTGCAAAAGAACAAAAAAGTGAATTCACTGAAGAGTGAAAGCGCTTTATAGTAAACAATGCTTTTAACAGGATGAAGGGATAATCCCCACTCAACAGAACTATGTTGACAATCCAATCATATTTGTCCCACCCTCACAGCAACGAAAAAGAAAGTGTAAACTGCTTAAGTGATGCACCCAAGATAAATATTATGGACGTTCCGTACATGAACTGTGCACAAAAATAATAAGCAGGTAAAAAAAGGTAGCTTAAAATTGATTACACAAAAGTTACGTATAAACGAAAATAATCTTGATGAAATGACTTTTTAGTTTCAAGTATTTTCAATTACTTTTGTCTTATCTCTAAATTAAATTATATTTTTTATATATAATATCAATAAAATCTTAACTTCGGGATGACGTGTTCTGAAATGTTGTATATACGCAACTTAGATGAAATCAGAAATAATTTGAATCGAGAACAATCAGAGCTTGTACTATGGAAATCAAAGGGTTAACATGTTTTGAAATTTTGTACAGTCCCAACAGATGAAAACAGGCATTATTTGGGTCCAATTACGTATTTAAAATATAATTATACAAATAAGTATTTAAACAGGCGACTGATGATTATAAGTATATAATATACCAACATGACTCGATTACAAATATTTGTACTCTTCATCCAAATAAATACTTCTACAAGGATTCGAACCCGCAACCCTTGAAATAAAAGACAAGATCGCTGCAGCAGCTGCAGTCGTCGTAATATGGTAAGAGAGATGGTGGAGCATATATTGTTTTACGGCATCTTTGATAGCACTTTTGACCCCAATTTGCGATAAGTGTTAATTTTTGTTTATTTTATTGCTTTAAACCATTGACGTATAAATGTATAGGTCAAAGCTGTAAACTTTGAATAGTTTTTGACCTCCATCAATAAATATTTGATTTAAACATTATTTGAAAATTCATGTTAGATTCATTCACATACCCGTATATACTCGCACCGTAAAGCGAAGACGTCAAGCGAGTCGGTACAGCTAAAAATCTCATAATCTGGCTTTCGAATCTGATACACGACCCCCCCCCCCCATTTGAATTGGTAAATTTATAGTCCAACGGGTCAACTAACCATAGACTGTAAAAAATGTTTTTCCAGTAAAATTTTCTATAGATTCAAACCTCTGCTTAAAATAATTCTCTTCAGGGCACACCACTGGAGCTAGAGAGCAGTATCACCATGCTCGGTATGGAGATTCGCTGTGACTTAAATCCAAAGAATTACATCGAAAGTGTGATAAAAACAGCCACACGCAAACTCGGAGTCCTGAACAAGGTGCGGCGTTTCTTCACGCCCGAGCAACTGTGCTTGTTATATAAGACGCAGGTGCGGTCTTGCGTGGAATATTGCTCGCACCTCTGGGATGGCTAAGTATGCTTTGGATAGGTTACAGCTGCGCGCAATCCGCATCATAGGCGATGAGGAGGTGACTAAACACCTCGAGCCTCTTCAATTACGCCGTGACGTGGCGTCACTTAGCGCGTTCTATCGTCTGTACCACGGCGAGTGTTCTGAGGAGTTATTCTCTCTTATTCCACCTTCCTCTTTCCTACAGAGGACCACGCGCGCTGGCTTACGTTGTCACCGTCTAACTGTGGCTACAATTCCAACGCGTACAAAGAAATTTGGTGACTCATTTCTTTGTCGTACTATCCGTAAATGGAATTCTCTGCCCGCTCACGTGTTCCCTTCCTCTTACAACCTGGGATCCTTTAAAAGTGGCGTGAAGAAGCAACTTGCAGGTCGGCAGGGTGAGGATGGCTGGTGTGGCAGTTAGAACTGCTGTATCAGCTATCTTCGCGTCTGGACTTCACCTTCACTTAACATCAGGTGGGATGGAGTCATTTGTCGGATCTATCTATAAAAAAAAAAGAAAAAGTGTTCTCGTACCTCGTACGGAAGACCAGAAATCTCGTATTTGTACGAGAATTCTCGTACGGTTGGCAACCCTGGTCGGTGAGACCTATTGGATGTGGAAATGGCAGGATTGTTGTGTATAGAAATCCCTTGAGGTGCCCTATGCCCAGCAGTAGAGTTCTATCGGCTGATGAAGATGAGTATGAGTATATTAGCAGCAATATTAGCAGCTCTAATAATCACCATGGGCAAGCAAGCGATTAATGACAGAAAGGAGGTTCATCTAAAGATCTTAAGGAACTCCAGAATCACCACATACTGTGACACTTAGCACGCAACAATGGTCCTGTCATTAGACCACCAGGTCTGGCACAAAATTGACAAAATATTTTGCAGTTACACCATCGTTTGTCGCATAATCCCTCCTTTGTGCGGAAGATTAAGCTCATTGTTCTATATAATACCGTCTCGAGATGTTTTGTGACAGCAGCGAGAGTGGTTTTCTCAGAAATGTCTATATTAATATAAATGTTTACCGTCGTCTCGACAAACAATATTTTGATTTAATAATAAAATGGATAACATTCTTTTAGAGTGTTTTCAATAAACCAAGTTTTGGTTTTATTATGTTTTTATTATATGTCTAACGAATTACAATGTTATTGGATAGATGGATGAATATAAGTATTACAAGCTTACTTTTCGTTCATTGTTTTTATTTGTTTGAAACTATCATTAATAGTAAGTAACATTTAAGTAATTTTTGATTTAAGCGTGGTTGCTACCACGTTCCTACCATGTAGGTACCTTGAAGAGTCGCTTAAGGTATTAACGATAAGCCATATATCAATATCGTGTGCATTAAGGATGCAAAAATTGTAAGACAAATAAAGAAAACACTTAAAGCTAAATCTTAATAGCGTTATTTATTAAGGTGCTCTCAATATTATTTTAGCAAATAATATCGACTGCACTTAAAATACATCCTACTATTCCTACTAATATTATAAATGTGAAAGTTTGAATGTTTGTTACTCAATCACGCAAAAACTACTTAACGGATTTCGATGAAATTTGGTACGCATATGACGCATTTATGACCTTGTTTGAAACATATGATACTTTTATCCCGGAAAAATGTTAGGTTCCTGTGAGATTCTCAACAAACTAAAGAAACCGCGGACATAGTCGCGGGTGGCCGCTACTGTTGGTACAAAGCTAATAATATTTACACAAGTATGTTTAGAGAAATCAGATAACCGAATTATATGAAACAAATAAGTCATTAGAATTCATTCCATTATGCGTTTCACCGAAAATGATGTATCTTTCATATTGGCACGCTGTTACAATGTAGTAAGTAAGCAAGTACGTTTGTTTGAAAACAGAATGATAGGAGCAGCACTCTCTGTACTTAACCAAACAAGCGGTAAAGGTTCAATGTATGCACGCTCATGGATGGTGTAATTAATACACGGCCATCGGTAAAGTGTCAGCCGTCGTCGAAAACAAATATATGAATATTGAACGAGACCTATGCCTCGTTACTGGGATTTGTTGCCGATTGAATGTTAAAAAGATTAACTGCTCGCAACTTCAAAGATCATTTTAATATTGATGAATTCCTCAACATGCAATGTATATTTATATAGTATCTATGAAATGAAATAAAAGCTCTTTTGTTGTCCTTATATTTTTTTTCTACTATCTGATTAGGACATATTTTAGATTTTAGCTGACAAGAAGAACAGACGAAAGATACTTCTCAGCCTTTTATGAGGTAGCCACATTTACATTAAAATATGTCATTTCCAATACAATTACTATAATTACATTCCTTATATGTTACACAGATCAAGAATATTTACTTTTAAATTTATGCATAGGAAGATCGGTAATACTAGGACTCAATTTATTAGAAAAAGTTATACATTTGCCCAAGAATGAACTATGTCATAATATAAGTTGTAGAATACTTTGTAAAAGAATACTCGTCTGTCTCATGAAAATATGACATAACCTGATTTTATAATATGTAAAATCATCGTATACGTTAATTAACTTTCATCATTATGCATTGAAATCCGATAAAGGAAAGTGGGTGAAGACACGGTAATTTTATCATAGTAAGGCTTTGCAAAGTAATTAAAGTGTCAAGTAGAAAATTGTTCTAACACAGTTTTCTGAAAAGCTGTTTGGTCAAATGCACTCCCAACGTGAATAATTTTGTACTTTGAATTTTGTAAATTTATTTCATGAAGGGTAATGGATGATACTTAAAACTTTTATCTGCATTAGCATAATTACCAATAAAGGTATTTTTACCGACTTTTTTTCGGAAAAAATATTAGTGAAAATTTACTCTCTTCTCTTTATAAGTATTTCATGTAATAAAATGCAACTTTTTCTTAAATGGCATAAAACATACACCTCACCTACGCTAATTCCGCTAAAAGTTTTATATAATAAGCTACGACGACACATTTAATGAGTTATGAGTATGATTTTTTAACAATTTCTGGGTGCTACGGCAGTGAGTTAATATTTAGCCTCGGGCAGTGCCCATTTTTTGCGGGGCACCCGAATCAACCACCTTGAGCCGACAAATGTGCGGGCATTCCGGTAATTTATTTTTTAAGCCAATAAATTACTCATACGTCAAAACTTTGGATACCGACGGACGCGGGACAAGTGATATATTGGTCCTTGTCACAGTATAGTACAGTCGACAACGCGAGTTTAATTTTAGAATTGTCTTACAATTCGTAAGTAAGTAATTTCTCGAAATTGAACGCGTTATGTTGGATTAACACTTTCATTATAAAAATAATATCTTTTGACAGTAAAGTAATAAATTAATTGCTTTCTTAAATAATGACAACTGATATACATTACTTTAAGATATATATATCTCTCGCGGGCTTGGCAGATCATCAAAAGTCACCTCAGGCACTTCGCACACGGGTCGTATGCGTAGGCGTATACGACGCTACGCGTACGAGACCTGCAATCTTCTACAAACGATTCGTAGGCATAAACTAAGTTAAAATCATGGCGCAATACGTTACGTAATTTGACAAACTCAATGATTTTTTCAGTCATAGGTATTGAAGTTAAAAGTCGTAAGTAATTGAATTTCAGTAAGGCACTTCGCACACGGGTTGTAGGCGTAGGCGTATCGTAAACGTATAGTTATGGTGCTACGCGTACGAGACCTGCGTTGTTCTACAAACGAATCGTCGCGAAGACGTAATCTCAGTTGGAATCATAGCGTAATACGAAACGTAATTTGAAATCTCAATGATTTTTCAGTCATATTAAAGTCAAAAGTCGTAAGAAGTAAAAATTCATAAGAAATTAAAATGCAATTATTTAAGTTTAGATTTTTTTTTAATTTAATAAAAAGTATATTTTTACGCTTGTGTTTTTACGCAAGTACACGGGGCCAATCGACTTACGGGATTGCTATGGCTATCGCTATCGCTTGCGATTTAATTTTGTTATTTCTGACAGCTGAAGGTTTTCAAATTCGTCGCGCTCTTTTTATTTATTTTGCATTGGTAAAAACAATAAACGTAACACTCGTATTGCTCTCGTCGTACGCGCGTATTACGATACGCCTACACTACGACGCGACGCCTTGTGCGAAAAGGGCTTAGTCACATTCATTTCTACTACGCTATATTTGGCGTTGATTATATGTAATATATGATTTGATAACTAATAGTGATAGGTTGCCTGTTTATCACCTATAACAGTTCTCGAATATCACTGTCCGTTGTTAGGGTTTTAGGCTTTAGTTCTAAGTACTCACTCTACTGGAAAATAAGCGGCCGCCGCTTTCTAACGTTGCTTTTACGCTTAAATTTCAGTACAGTAGAGAATAGTAACTTATCCTTACATTCAAATTGAAAGGTTATCAAAAAAACTGATGCTATAAATCTTATGAAAAACATTAAGATGATTAAAGTGAAGCTAATGATTTTATAGCCATTTTCAAACAAATAAAAAACTTTTTAAAGACAATTCACTATTTTTTAATGTTCAGGTACTAAATTATAATATCGTTTATATATTTAAATATTTAAACTGTTTATTATATAATATTTAGAATCACACTAATATTTAGAAGATCAAATATTTATTTACTGTGTTTGACTGTACACTCGCTTACTAATTTCGTAATGTTCTCTATTAACAGATCGCCACAAGACGCATAACCGTTTATATTTTAAATTCCAATAATAGAAGGCGGTTTTATTTTTAACTTTCTTAGATCTATATTAAAATAATCGAAAAAAGAAATACATTGACATGCACGAATTACTATTGTTGTTTTATTATATTGACAGAGAAGATTTCTAAGCGTCAACCAAGTTGATTCTGGATCTATGTGTGTTGATCCATCTTAAATAATTTCTAACACAATCACAGCTTCAATACAAAATTCTGTAATGTGTAAAACTTGAAATTGCTATGAACCGCCTATAAACTGTAGGCTTTGTATCTGTCGTGTCTCCCATACTACGTTTGGTTTGCAATGCTCTTTGAACTGAACATTGGAATATATATAATCGTGTACTATGTAGTTATAAATGGTAGGTACTTTAACTTAATGCGAAAGTAACAGCACGTAACAGTATCAGTATGTTACACTAAACCGCTGATCGCTTACCATAGGTTGGCCGGCCAAACTAAAAAAGCTTTGTTTAGTGCTAAAGTAATGTCAAGTTACTTGCTTCGTTTGACATTAAATGTTATTAGTCTAGTTATACCTTATTTCATTATTTAAGGTCCACTTGCAGCGATTTCGCTAAATCTCAATTAAATTAAAACTAGTTCTATTCTATAGAAAAATGACAAAACGTCAATGTTAATATGTTTTTTCTTTTGGATTACATATAGTTTTAGTTGAATCTAAATTTACTGGAAGTGGGCCTCTGAATAAGTATCTTATGGAAATGACACAAACATGTACTACGCGTGTTTACCTATATAAACAAATCGGGGAACAAACATGGCGGACGTAGGTCGTCCTTAGTCGATACTTTTTATTGATGTTAAGTTTCATTTGCTGTGGTCAAAGCATATAGGGTCAAACAAATATACTGGAGAAAAGGGCTGAAGAGGGTGAAGAATCTATTTGAATTTCGAAAACAATCGGAGATAATTTACAGGGACAGTAATAAGAAATCGCTTACTAAATTTCACAAACCTTTTCGTTATTCGTCTGCATGTGCACATTATACTGGTGCTTATTAACTTTAATAAAACATTATTACAATATTAAACTAAAAGTACCTCTAGGGCATATCGATGATATGTTATTTAAAACTAGCAAACCAGTGAACCAAATGTTCACCAAAAAAAAAATATATTTAATTAATTGAGAACTTCGGAGATTTTGTGTGGTTTCGTTTGAAATAGAAATCACGTGATTTCTCGAACACCGGAAGTGCTACGTTACTCAAATCCGGTTTGTAGTCTTATCAGACTATTCTTAACTTATAACTTAAACGTTCTCTTTATCTATCTCTTACGGTTTGGCCGCTGAAACAGCACCACGGACGGACGGACTTGTCTAATAGATATAATATTCAAGTTTTAATTATAAATACTTATTGCAGATGTTAAAATTCAAAAAATTCAATATTCATTTATTCCGTTTAGACTTTTACAATCACAAATGAAAGTCGAAAGCTACTCCGTCGGTTCGCAAATCCACAGGGATCCAAGGGACTTCCATATAGCCATTTCATCCAATATTAGGGAGAAGAAATTAAAGGAAGAAATAATACTATAATTAAAAAAATGTATTCTATATAAAATTGTATATGTTTTCGTGTTATTTCCATATAATACTTATTCAGAGAAGTGGGCCTAAATATATAAAAGAGAAAACTGATTAAGTGAATGACATATCAACGCACAACCCAAACCGCTGGGTCTATATTAGATACCCGTACGTACTCCAAATTTGGCACGTAGGTTTTTTATGAGGCTAGAAAGGATTTTTCAAAATTCACTCCCGAAGGGTTTAAAATAGGGGATGAAAGTTTGTAATGAGAAATCTTATTCCTTAAGTTAATTGGCTTGAAACTGAGCACGACTTTACACTTAAATAAATAAATTATAAAGTTTGTCAGTTTTAGTTTTCCTAAATTACCTTCTCTTGTATTACATTTATTTTTGTAATTGTTTGTAGTGCCCTTCATATAAATGACGAATTAATTACGCGTATCGTCGTCCCACGATAAGTCTGCAGTGGACTGACAGTAGCGAAAATTAAAACTTTATACATGGCAGTACAGTACTTTTAGTACGAGTTTTACAATTACGAAAACTATATTAATTTTCGTGAGCTCGCCCTCGTACTAAGGGTACTGTTTTTATTGTTTTCGTTTCAATACAAATAAGCAGTGTTTAAATTCTATTATTAAATCATTTGCGTCTTATTAAATTTTAAGTATATTTGGTTACTTTTCACCAAAATGGACATAGAAACATAACTTACAATACAATTACGAAAACTATGATAGTTTTCGTGAGCTCAAACTCGTACTAAGGGTACAGTACCCTTAGCACTAACCAATATCGAAATCGAATAGTTTTGCGAGTCCCAAATGTAATTGTCAAATGGGTACTGATTTTTAGTTCTCGTTACGTACTTTGTGGCGCTGCTGTTTAAGTTTCCACACAAAATTTGACATTGACATTTCGCACTCGCAAACTATTCGAATTCGATAATGGAATTCGTATCGTTTGCGAGTACGAAATGTCATTATCTAATATGTACTGTTTTTAATTCTCGTTACTTACGTTATGGCGCTGCTGTTCAAGTTTTCATACAAAATTTTATAATGACATTGCAGACTCGCAAACTATTCGAATTCGATAATGGTTCATGCTAAGGTTGCTGATTATAGTTAAATTTACTTTCCCTGATACTTTGTTATTAACCGATTCAAAAAGGACGAGGCTCTTAATTATTTAAGGGCCGATTTCGATGATTCTGTTTTAGGGTTCCGTGCGCAAAGGGTAAACCCTATTGCTGAAATTCTGTCGTCTATCTATCCGTATGCTACGGGTCTATAGATCGTAGTAAACGGAATGAGTTACATAACTAAAATTTTGGCATTTTATCTGGAATACTTACCCAAAGCGATTTTATTCACTATTTTTAATGAAATGTCTCATACACGTGATACATCAATCTCTAGGGCAGGTAGGATATGAATATTGTCACGTAACGCGATTGGTTTCGATATTATATTGCCAGTTTACACCTGACAGTTCAACTCAACTGTCCCTGCTCGGAGCCAAGCGCCCTAAGAAAAGGGTAGCCATGAAAGTTGTTATTTTTAAAACTATTTTTGCTAAGTGGTTTATCTCAAAATCGAAAATAGTTAAGAATGTGAAAGTTGGGTTTGTAGCATATGCACATCACGCACCAAAATTTTATTTGAAAAATCTATTTTTATACAACAAGTACTGAACGCGTCGATTCATAACATAATTTTTGAGATGTTATAAAAGCAAACAAATGATTATTTCCTTTCGCGGTATATTGCAAACTGCGATGTCGATATCGCTAGAGCTCGGAAAGAAATATTTCATAACTCAGTGATATTAGGTAGCTTCAATAACAGAATTATTTCACTGCACAGAACTCTAATAGAGCGATACGCCAGGTTTTTCATCAGTATTTTGGCGAGATTATCCCATATTAATTAGGTGAAGATCTGTTGAGTACTTTGGCAGATACAGTATATTCTGTTTCGTTAATATAAGAAAAATAAAACAAGTAATGCATTCCAGCTAAGAGCAAATAATAATTGCTCCTAGCATGCCATACATAGTTAGTCGATGCTATTTTGGATTTTTGACTTTTATAAGGTAAAAAAAAAATCTTTTTGGTATAAAATCGTTTTATTATTGATCGGATATATGCTTGATCAAGCATATATCCGAGATCGATTTCAATGATTCTTATTTTACCTTTAGGTATATATGACCTACTCTGTTTATCTCTGAAAGATAGATCCGAATCCAAAACTTTAATTTACTGATATTAAATGTCCTCGTTAACTTTCTTTTTTTTCGTCTCTTCCGGATATTCAGCCTCTCCTTTTACATTTTCAATATCTCTCCCATCTTACTCAACCTCATTTTTTTCATATGGTTAACTCTGCAAAACATTACCTATTTTTATACAATCTGCAGATAAATTACATTAAAATGAAAACAAATTTTCAATTAGTGTAATGTAATTGCAATTGGTAATAAAATTACTAGTACAAATTAATATTTTTATGAATTTATTTTTTATAAAATAAAATGCTGCGTAACAAGTATTAGTCCACAATTAAAACTTTATGTGAAAACACGGCTTAAGGCTTGTGTTATGGGATACTAGGGTATCGGATAGAATACATATACTGTACATATATAAGTATATTTTAATAGAAATACATATTAAACATCCATGCCTGGAGTACAAATGCTCATATTCATCACACAAACATCTGCCCCCACCGGGATTTGAACCCGGGCCTCTCGAGTCGGCGACACCATGAAACCACAAAACAAACCACTCGGCCACGGACGTAGTCAAAAAGTACACATAAAGTCTATTAGGGTAGGTACTATAACTAGAGTTCGTTTTTTTAGCAGTCAATCTCCAAATATCCAAACTTTGAACAACTATTGAATAATACCATAGGTGTCCTCGTCGAGTTCTTCCATTCTCCTTCACATAATTGCACTTAGAGTATGTACTTAATTATAATCCTTTAGATCACCGTAGTCACTACCTTTGCATTTAGAAAGAATTCATTCACTGGCTAACAAACATATTGTAATTAAGATAATGATATGTTTATTTTTGTAAACAAGTTTTTTGTATATCTGAAGGAAAATATTATTATCGAATAGGTGAACATGACCTGCGCTTGATAAAACTTTAGTTATCTTAAAGAAATGCAGTATATATTGAGTAGAAGGAATGCAGTAAACATCATTGTCAGTCATGGCACGATCGGTGATCTGTTTGTTGGCGTTAATGCTGGCTGGCGGGCTTGCCCGCCCGGACCCAGAGCCAGTACCTTCCCAGAGGGAACATCCTCATCCAGTTGTTGGTAAGTACAAACTTGTATAAGAAAAAAAAATATCCAAATCCGCTCATTCCGACAGACACACAGACGCACAGATACATAGACACGTCAAACTTTTAACACCACTCTTTTTTCGTCGGGGGCTTAAAAGAGACAAAGTAAAGTGGGACCCAAAATGATATGATTCCTTTTAAGACACCTCATTCCTGGAAGCTCCATAACTTAACTTTGGTGCTGCAAATGTCCAAGCGTAGCAATGATTACTTTTCATCAGGTGGACTGCCAGCTCGTTTGCCTGCATAAACATTAAAAAGAGTATCTGTATCCAATAGAAAAAACAAGGAATTTCAACCGAGTAAGCTTCACCGAATCCCTTAATCCTTGACGAAGGATGAGTTTTAAAGCCATCAAATCTACCAAAGCCAATACGACTTTGGTGACAAAAGATCATACATTCTTTGGAAATTTTAATTTGTTCTTGATTAACTTAAATTTCCTCAGAGGCTGTGCTTCTAACTTAATTTTTCATATATTTATTAAAGTTATGTTATTGTTAGCAAATCTAACTGAATTTAGTAAAACCTGCAATAACATGAATCCGAAAAATTTTATCGACATTTTGAATGCGAAAACTTTTACCTTACCTATAATTTCATTACTTATTATATTCTTTAAACTTTCAGTGAGCCACGAGGATCTGGAATTCCAAAAGAAGTTATTGCTTATATTTTATCAGCCTCACCAGCCCCTCATTCCTGAGCTAAATACAGTTGCTCAAACATGGGGCTTAGTAAAGAACATTGACCAATATAACGTAAGTAAATAGTAATAATACTAATATTTATATTTCAATAAAGAAGGATCTTCTTTAAATGTTGCTTTTTAATGACGCAAAAATATTTTCAAGGTCGATATCCTCCTTGTAAGATCACGTAACTTTTGCACGAGAATCAGAAGTAATACTAATTTATTTGAGAGTCACTAGCAGCAATTTAACTAAATCTTAATTTAATTAAAACTAGATTTATTCCACAGAAAAATGACAAAACGTCAATGTCAATTTTACATTATTGTATTGCCACGGGTAGCTCCCTGAATATTGCCCGAGAGAGCCACCGGACAAAGTAAAAGATACTACAGTGTGAAAATAAAAGAAGTTGTAGGTTGAACGGTCTATATTGCTAAAATCTACACGATAGGGTTCAATGAAATGGGTTCAATGGTTGGTATGTGTTTGGCCGAAAAAAGTAAAGGTTACATTCATATACTAATTAAAATCAATTCCTAATTGGAGATACTACATACGGTTCATATTAAATATAAATAAAGGATTAGATGCCCCGACCTTGTGTGTCCCGTTCTATAGCACTGAATATTTGATATTTGTTTGTATTCTGAACAAATATTAATTGGAAAACTGGATTCAAATATTTAAAATTTTCAAAAGAAGTTACGGCTCCTGCAGAATCCAGCCAATGATATTAAAGGGGTGGTACTTAATCCTGTAATATCCTTTTAACCTAGCGCCTTTTCGCCAAAATTCAAACTTGAAGGTTGTCAGAACACTATGTTACAGAATGGGTTTATTCTAGTTTTAGTCAAATTGAGATTAGTAAAATTGCTGCAAGTGGACCGTAGACTTTTAACGCCTAATATTTGAATGATCATAATATTTTTTAGAATGCTACCGCTGTGCATATATCTCAACAATTGATCGAGGGTGGATGGGTGCTGCCATTCAATGTGCCTTTCTCAGTACTAGAACAACAACACAGGTGGCAGGCAGCTACTTTCTTTAACTTGCTGTACTCTGCTAAGACCAAAGATGTTTTCTACAAGACACTCGTGTATTTGAGAGCCCACATCAATGAATACATGCTGGTATATGTGGCATCTGTTGCCATTGCTCATAGGCCAGATACACAAGGATTTATTGTGCCGCCATTGTACGAAATATTTCCTTCATTTTTCAATAATGCTGAAATTATGACTACCGCTCAGAGAATAAGCGTCCACGGTAAAAACTACATGGAGCATTACCCATCGACGTACATTTGGGATAACGATGTTGTGATCAGAAGGAACGCTACGGTATGGCCTTATTACACCAAATATTTGCCCTTAAGTTATTTCACACACGATTTCGCTCTCAATAATTTTTACTACAATATGCACATCTTATATCCGTCTTGGCTTGGTGGTGAAACGGTGCCATTAGTTAAAGATCGTCGTGGCGAATGGTATTGGTTCATGCATAAACAACTCGTCGCCCGTTATTATATGGAGAGATTGTGCAATGGACTTGGAGAGATACCTGAATTAGACATGCATCTTGTAGAAGAAGGATACGCTTCGGGCCTGATACATCAAGCTGGTATTTCTTATCCAGTAAGGCCAAACTATTTTCTACTGGAGCAGCCTAATTTTATAAATGAAATCATCCAGATCGCTGACTACGAACATCGCATCCGTGATGCCATTGATCTTGGATATATCACAACCGTAAGTTAATAACTTTGATATTTGTATTCTATGCATTTTTACCTATAAAACGATTATATTATTTTATATACTTATATTTTTAGCCTAATGGTGAACACGTTGATATTCATAGTCCTGATGCTATTGACGTACTGGGTCGTCTTGTTCAAGCGGGAGTGGATTCTCCTAATAATCAATACTACAAAGACTTTATCAGTATCTGGAAAACTCTCCTCGGCAACTCTGAAGTTTACAGCAATGTTGATTTGAAGTATGTATTTCTATATTTTTTCGAAAATGAATTCATTATAAACACTAGTACCTAGTTACTATTTCTAAACGTATTCCAGTGGCGTTAAGTTGGTGGTTCCATCAGCTCTGGAGCAGTTCCAGACTACGCTTCGGGATGAAGCTTTCTACATGGTCTGGAAGAGAGTATTGCAAATGTTCGCGTCATGGCACAAAAAGCTTCCTCCTTACACTAAAGAGGAACTCGGCCTGCCTGGGGTTGTAATCAACAAAGTCGAGGTCGACAAGTTGGTCACGTACTTCGAGCACACTTACATGAATGTAACCAATTATCTGCCTGTGAATAGTAAGTAAAGCTTTATTGAATCTTATTAATAAATTACTTCATTTAAATTCACGGAATATGTATGGCGAAGGTTAGGTTGGTAATGCATCAAAAGTCTGACTCCATCGATAAATATATAGATAAGTGGTATTTACTATAAATATAACTCAAATATTTTAAAATTTTCATCTCAATGACATGTCATTATTGGCGTGAGTTGGTTTTAAGTTCCTAATCGATTATTGTCTGGTTGTCATCCATTTATAGAGTATTACTAAGATAGATTATTTATAATTTTAACGATTTTTCTTAATCTAGATAATGAAGAAGTACCGCAGTCCGTGCTTGTGGAGCACAATCGTTTGAATCACAAAGTGTTTGGCGTTCGTATACACCTCAGTTGTCAAGCTCCCCAGAACGTCGTAGCACGTCTTTACCTCGCGCCCAAATATGACAGTAAGGGTCAAGAGATCCCATTGGAAGTCAACAGTCAGAACTTCTTACAGGTCGACCAGCTCATATACAATTGTAAGTGATATGTTTGAATTTTTATATATAACCTTCATTGTCATTAGTATATCAATCAAACTCAAACTCAAAATCATTTATTCAGTTAAGGCTGGTACAAGCACTCATGAATGCCAAGAAGCTACGCCATCAAATTTTCGGTCACCCATCCGATGATCGGCCATTGCGAAAGTTGCTTAACTATTGACGACAATTGAAGATGAAACGCTAACAACTTGCGCCGGGAAGATCCTCCGTTTAATTGAACCTTAACAGAATATTCATCATAATTATCAGCCTATTAATGTCCCCAGTGCTGAGGCACAGACCTATGGATGGAATAAGGAGAGAAGGCCATGACCCGCTACGCGGGCCCATTGCGGATTGGTGGGAGCTAACGACTGCAGTAGCAGCCGGGACCAACGGCTTAACATGCTTTTCGAAGCACGGAGGAGCTAGAGATAAATTATTAATAAGATAATTATTAATAAATTTTTGGTCACCCATCCAATGGCCGACCACTACGAAAGTTGCTTAACATCAAAGATCGCAGCCGAACGTGCTAATCACTGTCATCGAAGTCCTACAGAGTATTAAACAAATTAAATTATAATATCCAAGTTCTTACAGTTTTTATTTATACACAGGGTGGTATAATATAGTGTGTTAATGTATAAATGGACTCTGACCTTGAACTTAGACTTCACAATGTAGAAACTGTTGCCTATCCATTGCTATAATATCTGGATAGGTTTACATTAAGTGGATGATGCATTTTTTTGATTTACTTACTTTTTACCAATGGTAACTAAAACTTACATTTTTTTTCAGGTAAACAAGGACAAAACGTAATCTCTTATTCATCCAATGACAACCAATACGTCGCAAATGATCCCACTTCTATCTACAATACATACAACAAACTTGTGAAGGCATTGGATGGCAATGAACAGTACATGTATAATATTGAGCATATCGACCGTTACCCTCAGCGACTTCTTCTTCCTAAAGGTACTGTGAGAATGTACTTAAATAAGGTAGACGATTAACTTTTTTTCTTCGCCTATCAGGTCGATTATCAAAAAGCATTTGACAATATTTTTTTCTTTATTCACTTAGTCAAAGCATTACAGAGATAATTATTGATTTGAATTTCGCATGACGTCACGTCTAGGTACAATAGGGGTGACGACGGGGTAAAGTAAATGAATTTCTATTAAGTCCGTCAGTTACATTATCAAAAAATAATGTACCCTTTTTTTTCTATGGGCAATCAACCAAAAAATTACAAAGATAAAGCGCATCAAAGTTCGGGAGTGATGACACTTTTAAGTGAAAATTGTACCAAAACGTGACGTCATGCGACATTTCAAATCAATTTATCTCTGTAATGTTTTGATAATGTGAATGAAGAAAAAGTATGTGTCCAATACTTTTTTATAATCTGCCTCATAGACGAAGAAAAAAAATTTAGTCGTAATCCCTTTTTTCAGTTAGAGATGGACGTCACTCCCAAACTTTGACGCGTTTTATCTTAGTTTTTTTGTTGATGCTCAAAAGATACAATAAATGGCTATTTTTCGATATAATTTAAGTGACAGACAAAATAGAATATGAATAACTGATAATTACTTACGGAAACAATTCAATTGGGCTATTCAAATAAGCGTCGATTCCAGACATAAAGATTGCTATTTTCTTTTGATATAAAAATATAACAGCTTATTGCTTAGAAAAATACAATGAAACAACTTTAAAATATAAGCAGATGCGGTTTATTGGATTTGTTTTACAAAATAACTACCTCTCTATGCTTATTACGTATGACCTGATCCTAAAATAGATTGATGAATGTCGATAAAGAAGTTATCCTTTACAAGTATTAAGTATTTTAAGGGTTATCCTTGACAGAGGGTTGCTTGGTATATGTAATATTATTTTAGATATGGGTACTTTCCATTACTCACAAGTACCCATTTCAGTATGAACCTACCTTCGATTTTTCGTTTCTAGAGTATTATTTTCAGTTAAAAAGGCGTAACTTTGTGGCATCCTAGCACACTGAACTATCACGGCAGTGGCATGACAGTTTTAACCAAGTTTTGGGCCATCAATCGTTTGGAAAATCCTCATTAAGTGCGGGTTAGGAATCAAGTGTATTGTTTTCTAGTAAAAAAATCCTTAGATTTAAAAATGTAGCTGTTAAATCCTTAAAAATATAATAACTTAGATATATCTACGCCAGTTCCGCAGACATGTAGTGCGGTGGTTATACCTGCCTGTTTGTTAAAAAGATGCCTAACTTGGAAGAACTGAAGAAGAAGAAGAAGAGGAAGACAAATCAAAAGATTTAATGTTATCATTATATTATTTGCAGGTCGCGTTGGTGGCATGCCTTTTGTGGTTATGGTGCACATCGCACCGTATCACGCACCTAACGTTCTTTACGGTACCGGTTACAATCCTAGTCTTTCTCTCGGCATCGGTTCGGGTGCTCGCCGCATCACAAGCGATCCTCTCGGCTTCCCTGTCGACAGGCCGCTCTACCCATGGCAAGTGGAAGGCCTTCAGAACATCTATTTCGAGGACGTTCTGATCCATCACAAACACACCCCCGAAGTAATCGTCAGCCACGTTGAGTAAACGACTCGTTTTATTTGCTTTTGATGCTCCTCTTCCCATCTGTTTGCCATGCTCACATATCTTAAAGTCTTTTACTAGACTTGCAGTTGTAGTCACGAATACCAATGTAAAGATTTAGCTCAATTCAACAATTCTCCCCACCGCTACTTCAAAGCATCGAAAGAGGATTAATGTATTCGAATATATATTTTATTAGTGTATGTATGAGATGTTTGTATTTATTGTTACATTATATGATAATAATTGAAATATATTTATCTTATGAACTAGCAACCATGGTTTTGTTTTACTGATAAATACCGGTATATAGTTCAGACTGGCAATTTGTGTGTGCACTTGTCTTTGTAAAGTGAAGCCTCAAGTTGGATAATGAATAAGAGACAACATTACATACATAAATAGCTTGTATCCCATTATTACGGATATCGCATAATGAAATTAATACATGATATTATGCTCGTAATAAATTTGTTAGAGTGGCGAAGATCCAACGACTCGACTTTCGAAGTCTGTGAACTGACCTCCCTAAAAAGCATTTTTACATAAATAATAATAAAAACACAAAAAACTGCATTGCCTCTTCTGCGGTGAGATATTCAATTAATAATCCAGGGTTTTGGCTGGACATATTGAAGGTCTATCATTATTATAAAGTTAATAAATGCCGAGCTCTATTGACAGTTGAAGTCTTTATCTGACCAGTGATATTCACTGATCAGATAAAGACTTAAACTTCGACTTTAATCAGTGATATTAAATATCACTGAAGTTTACAGACTTCGAGTTGTTGGATCTTCGCCACTCTAATAGACACAGCGAAATCGACATCATCACATTTAAAGGTTGCTGCTGCTAACAAGCTAGAAGTTAGTATAGAGCTTACGAAGAAAACGGCGGGATGGACTAGGTTTTCTCTCTTGCATTTGCAAAATTATACAATGGAGACTGATGAGATGCCCTAAAAGAACGCAGACAGTTTTGCTTGCTCTCTTCTCTTCTCTTTGCAGACTGACTTCGATCAATGTTTTACTGACATTTTTGAACACATTTAAGTTAGATTACGTCTTTGTTTTAGAATCTATCTATCTACAGCTAAATCATCGTATTTGATATTATCAGTGAAAATATTTTTTCGTTTGCTCCATATAGCCCCCCATTTTCGCTGAAAGTGCGACTCGCCCGTGATACCCCGAGGTTTAGGGCCACGTGGAAGTATAAGGGCTCAAAAGACGCGGAATTTTAAGAAGACGCAAAAATATTTTGAAATGGAAATCGAAAAAAAGAAACTACATTTTCGACCGAAACTTCATGTGTCTTCACAGAAAATTTCCGATATCTCGAGAACGGAGCCGAATTTCAAAAATATGAAAAAGAGAGAGAGATTTTAGGTCATTTCACTTTTTTCGACATTGGTGACGGTTGAGGCAGTATAGGTGCCCTTAGCCGCGAAATTTGCGCGGCGCGAGGTGCGATATCGGGTGCTCGCGGTGGGCGGCTCGCGTGCGGCCAAGAAGACGTATAAAAATATTTTGGAAAAGTTGTTTTTTTTTAATAATCAATAATATGTACTATATAAATATATATATATATATATCTATATATAATACCTGTTATATACATATTCGCGTATTCGTTTTCAATGCCCTTTCAAGTCGTGTAGAGCACGAGATCTGTGATTCTTTTTTTCTCAAACGATGTTTTGCTATTATTAATTTATAATAACACCAATAGTCAGCTATTTCGTGTAGCTTTAAATATCTAAAATTGTAATAAGTGTAATCTCAAAGGGCGAATCACATAAGTTTAATAGGACGTCAAACCAACTTACCAGTAAGTGACATTTGACGATTAGGTATGGAATAATCCATCCAACGATGTGATTTGCCTGAGAAATTACACATCCTCTCTGTCCTTGATCAGCTATTCAATGAATTAGGTATCTCTAATTCTTACCAATGGTGACACAAAGTAGCTAGAACCAACGGACCGCTGAAGTCCAAAAGTGCATGAATATATCGGGAGAGACACAGCGCGAGCGCATGGCTTTTACTTTTTAAGTAAAGGTTAATGTAGCTCTGAAATAGTGTACGATGCGATGGCAGTACATATGCGTACTACTACAAGTGAAATTGTGTAATGTCTAAATCGTCAAACACACTTACATGTAAGTTTGCTTGACGTCCTATATTATGTAACAGCACATCTATTTAGGAAAGGGGCCTGTTGAATTCTGTGAATCATCACGGGTTCCGTGTTACATATGGATGGCAATCAGGTAAATCACTTGTGGCTTGCAAGGGATTCAGTTTAATTCCTCGAGATCAGAGAAATGTACTTATTAGAAAGTCTAATGAAATGCGTAGTACCTTCTACATAGGTAATGTTTTCTAGTGGGACGCACATAAAACTATTGTAATCCTAGAATGATAGAGCGGTTTTTCTTCGTGGGTTTTAATTAATCTTCTTTATAAATAAGAAATGAATGTTGCTAAGCGCAAAACTCGAGAACGGCTGGACCAATTCTTTTTATTTTCATATGTTCATTAACCCATATATGCACCTTGATTCGAAAACGAACAGAACCCTTTATACCCAGAACTATTCAGGACTTGCAATTTTTGTAAATTTTGGATAGCTTAATGCTAAAAGGTCTTTATTGACATATTAACTACTTTAATGAAAGTCATTATAAGATAAGTGCTATTAAGTACCTTTTTTTTAATTGTTCGAATACGAAACACCAGACTCTTTCCCTACATTTACTGTGAGTAAACAAACAAAGGCATATGTTCCATTAATTTATTTTTAAAATAAAAATCATTTGTGGATACCTACAATGCGAAGAGATTGCGCTTAAAATTTAGACGCGGCCATCAGGGCCGTGGTAGCATAATTGGTAAGTGCATTCGCCCGGATTGCGAAGGGTGCAGGTTCGAGTCCCTTCCGCTGCCTGGTCCGCGTGGTGTTTTTTCTAGTAAAACTTTTCTTTAGATTTAAACATCTAGCAGTTAAATGCTTAAAAATAAATAAAAACTAACTATAAGAAATCATGTTAAAAAATAATGTTAATTGAATTACTTAGAATTGAAGAAGTTGATGCAATAAAACAATGGAGTGTATATGGACTTGACACTTTTGAGAAGAAGAAAAGAAGTGACCTGACGGTTTTGACTCACAAGCAACACAACAGAGTCGGCTTGGTATCTAACGATCATATGCTCAGTATTATAATTTCGGATTGAAGGAAGAAATAGTCGCCGCTTATCAATGCCGTACTTTCGAAGTCAAGATTTGACAATACTACGTCGAAATTTCGACGTGTCAACATCATCGCGAACTTTTAGTGCGTCGAGTATTCAATTGTTTACAAAATAGAAAAAAAAATGGGTCTAAAGCTTCTGATGCAGTCAGCACTGTTCTTGAAGGTGGTGTGAACCACTCATTTTCCATTATAGCTAACTATCGTTTTACCCATTTACAGTTTGATGGCCATCGTGGTTGACTCAATGTTTGGTCTCGTCTATTTTGGTAGATAGGTACCTTGAAAGTGGAAAATCATCATCTCCTTCAAACTCACTGTCATCATTATTAACACCGTGAACCAGTTGGACAGGTCCCAAAAGTTCTGATCTTACTGATAAATTCTCAAATCTTACACTTACCTCAACGCCAGAATCTAAATCTGAAATTAATCCGTCGCCATGGTAGTCAATTTAATATATATCTAAGCCTGACAATATATCATTTTCGAAACGCTGTTTATTTGTTAAATATTTTAGGTATTCTTATAATCATAATAATTGACTCATTATAATAACAAATACATTTTGCACACATCTAACTTTAGTGTAGAATATACAAAAATCGAAAATTTCAGCTGATTTAGATAATTTCTTTCATTTTTGAAGGAGACGCGTTGATTTTTCACCACTGAAATGAAATCACAACTTGTACTGACTCATAACCAAACAAATAGCAATTTCCTAGCGAAGCAATCACACAGGCGGATCCCGCCATACCCGGGCCGATTTTGGCATATTTCAAATGGTCATATAATGTAAACTATAATTGATATGTTTGTTTTTTTTTTTATTATATTATTGCTTTATTATATTTTGTATATAAAAAATAAAACAATGAAACATAACAATATATTTTTTATTTATTCATCTGTGAATATTGTACGTTTTTAATGAACAATAAAACTCTTACATAAGATTTACAAGCTGAAATTATCTCTAGGGATAAGTCCTATGTATTTTAAATGGTATAATCTTTTTTCGTATGATATAATTTGAAGCATGGAATGTTACCTACATAAAGAATAATAATAAATTTTACATCGACGTGCTCTCTCAAGTATATTAAGCTGCGTACTGGCCGACGCGCGCTCTCAAACGATCGGCTCTCGTAGCTGAATTAACTTATTTACACAGCGGAATTTTGTTCCAATGAGTGTGTAATATTAACAAGAATCTTATTTCGTTCGCGGATCTCGGGCAGGATACGAGATTTATGAACAGTAAGTAAGAAAATGCATCACGTATCCTATTTAAGACGCGCGAGTGAGATATAACCGCCCGCACGTATCTTATTCGTGAGCCGCTGGCAAAGTGTTAATATAACGTAGACAATGCAATCAATCACAATTTTCCTAAGTACCTTTTTCTTAATATATATGGTGACAGGATGCACATTCCGATCAAAATGTGTAAAACCTTTTTTGTTTTGTTTTCAAATCAGGGGGCACATAACGTACGAAAAAAAATAGTTGTGTGCATATAATTATATGAAAAACAAAATGGGTCACAGTCTTGCAGTGTATTTAATTTTTTTCTATTAAGTTTTGACAGAAGAAACAAAACAGTTGTAGGGCAGCTAGTTAAGTACCTACAAAAATCTAAAGTAATAAATATACTTAAACGATTTTTCATATATATTGGTTATTATAATTAAAAAATATTTCCCATGCTGGAATCTAAGCAAAAGACAAAGAATGTCAGCTGCTAGCTTTCCAAAGTATATTATTAAATTAATTGATGATTTTGTTTTTTTTATGTTAAAATACCCTTTTAAACAATCGTATTATAACGCTTGATGGTAAGCGGCCACTATAGCCTATAGACACTTCATCATCATCAGCCTATTACAGGCCGGACTGGAGATTTGATCCATGACCCACCACGCGGGCCCAGTGCGGATTGGTGGGTGCTGATGACTGCAGATGCAGCCGGGACTAACGGCTTAACGTGCCTTCCGAAGCACGGATGAGCTTGAG